ATATTAAGCTAGGGGGAAGTTCGGGAGACAAAGCCCATTCACAAGGGTTTGGTTTCACAAAGATCAGCTCACTGATTTCCATCCGAACAATGGAGAAATGGAAGAACTCTCAATAATTGAACAGACCGGTGATGTTACGCAACAGGCCTAACGAGTGGGCTGCCAGAGGGAAGGGCAGCGAAGCGAAAGAGAGGCTGATCCAGGGGGCGGGTGCCAGGGAGTGTGTGGGAAGAAGGTCTGTGGAAAGATTTCAAATATAAGTGTAAATTGCTGCAATATGGACACATCTTGTCACCAAGGTCATTACGGTGCTTTCTGCAGCCCTGTGATTTCACAAGTTAAGACATCCGTGAATATGCTCTCCTCCTGCTGTGCTTCCCCCATATGCGAACATATGTCGGCATAAAAGACGCTGTATTTTTAGCCTAGTCTACAATAAGTCCCAGAATGCCTGTGGTAGCGAGCTTTTAGTCAGTGCATTCACGTTAGGTTGTGTGTGCGGGAGCGCACAAGCTCGTTCTCCCCTGTAGGCGTGCAGGCCCCAGTTTCATCGTTCTGTGGCTCTCTCCTCTTTTCTGGCTTCCTCTCCTTCTTTTTTAGTCTCTCTCTCTCACCCTCTTCTCTTCAGGTCTGTATATTTTTTTCCTGCTTCTCTCCTCCCACGCCATCCTCACATGCACGCCGTCCTGCTTGTTAATCCATGTGCATGTATACACTCCTCAATAGAAAATACACACCAGATCAACCCGGTCTCATCCCAAGACGTCATATAACTGACGTTTTGGGACGTCTTTTGACCATACGTCAATATTCGCCTTTTTAGGGCCCCCTTAAACGTCGGTAGATGAGGTTATGGGATCCTAACTCTACCCCATACCTAAACCTAACCCTAAACCTAACCCGTCACCTAACTGACGTTAAAGGTAAAGCGTCAGTTGTATGACGGCCCGGGATCGCCATCTACCGACGTTTAAGGGGGCCCTAAAAAGGCGGATATTGACGTATGGTCAAAAGACGTCCCAAGACGTCAGTTATATGACTTTTTGGGATGAGACTGTGTTACAATTATTCACTACAGGAAGTGAAAGTTAAAACTGAACGCTGCATTAATGTCGCAGAATCTTTCAGAGACGATGAGCGCTGAATCTACTTCATAATGTGCTGATAACGGTGGGTATATAGGCCATAGTGTCTTCATTTATTTTCGTAAAATTTCTCTTGCGGTCCACATGTTGTGAAAAAATTAGAAGTATTTAGTGTTAAACAAGTTGCTTTTGAAATGAGGAGTTAGCTAATCTAACATCTTTTTATTATCCTCGCAGTGCTTCGGTTATGCGATGATGTGCTGTGAAATTATTGCGGGGCAAATTAATTGTAATATTAATTAAATAATAAAAGTAGTCTTATAATAATAATTTAATACATTAATTGGAAATGCTACATCTATGCTTTTGATGATATCTCTGGCTTCGCAAAATATGGTCCACAACCAAATGCACACCGACATTCAGATCTGCCTTCACTTATTTAGCAACGCCCAACTTCCAACACAACCCGATCACACTAAATGCGTCTTTATAGCACACATGTGTATTGTCGTGGAATTTATACGCTAAAGTGAGTTTTTAAGTGCATATGATACGCATTGGTTGGTAAGAGTAGGTTTAGGTGTGGGGTGGAGTGTGTGTGTATTATTCGCCAATGAAAAACGCGAAAAACTGCGTCTCGTATGCGCGTTAAAAATGAATTTTCGCATTTATTCCCGAGGGATGAAATCAAAACCCGCCCTACATTTTTCTCATTCCAGACAACATGACATCATGACTTTTGCGTAAACATATACGCCACTTTCGAGTCAGGTGGCGTGTTATCTCCACGCATTTTGTGCTATCCGCGTGTATCCGCATGTATGCGTATATGTCTACGCCATTAACGTCCGCGTCATTCCGCGTGTCTGAACACGCAGTCAAATCTCCAGTCATAAATGCCATTAACCCCAGTGACGGTTAAGTTTAGGGACGGGGTTGAGGTAAGTCATATCTTTTTTTTACCTAGGATGGTAAGGGAACAGTCATAAATGCCATTAACCCCAGTGACGGTTAGGTTTAGGGACGGGGTTGAGGTAAGTCATATATTTATATAACGTTAAGTCAACAGCGTTCATAAGCACGCTGAAAGGCGATTATGCGTCTTGATAGCACGCCAAAAATGGAAATACGAATTGGCGTGTCATACACACGCTACTTCATGAGATCAGTCTGTTCCAGAAGCCCTTTCACTCAAAAGACTGTCGCAACATCCATTTAAACCCTTTAAACTTTTGAAATGGTATAGAAATAACAACTCATTTTTTGAGGCATAGTCAGGATTTTAATTCTTTTTATTTTCAATGTGAATCCTTGAAGCTTTTAATTATCCTAAAGTTTAAGTTGAAATGAATTTAGAAAAACATTCTTTTCAAAACTGTAAAAAAAAAAGTGACTTAAAATGGTCATAGTGTTATGTTATAGAATACACCTTATCAGCACATAAATAGTCAACACGTTAAAAGTATGCCAAAAAAAAAAACAAACAAAAATAGTGATTTGACTTTTTTTAAGATTGATTATTTAAGAATAAAAAATGAAGCTTTTCCCAGCATTTGCATGATTCTGTCAGAGCAACGTAAGCCCAGAGCTGCCTGCATGCATAATATCAAAGTGCTTTAGTTTCATTTATGGCATAACACTCAACATGGAAACCAGGCTTTGTTTTTTTTTTTTTAAAAAGAAGCCATTTTTAATACAGAAATGTTTATGAATTCACCAGCATAAGGTATGTTTTGCAAAAATAACCAGCTGCAGAACCGCAGAACCATACAGCCTTCTGAGGATTTGTGTTGGTGTCTGTTCAAGAGGGTTTATTCATTAAGGTAGATCTTATAGTTATAGTGAAGGGTGGGTTTAGTGGTTGGGGTGGGACATGCGATCGTCAGCACCACTTTAACTTCAGCTCTGTCCTAAGACTGCTGTGACGTGTGGTTCTGCAGTTAGATATCTCCTGTTAGCTATACCAACGCTAACCAGCATAAACCAGCCAGGACCAACATGGATTTGTTTTTTTTTTGTTTTGTTTTTCAACAGTGATGCAGTGATACCAAACCCTTCCATCTTCAAATTAAATCAAAATAATGCTAACAAAGTTAGAAGCCTGGATGATTATGCAGATACACAGAATAATTCCCACACATGATAAAGATTCAGAACCCTGTTTCTTTTTTGTTTTTTTGTTTTACCCATTCTATATCACATATGGTAAATTAGAATTTGATTTACTGTAACATAATATATTGACAAATTTGAATTATTGCCATTTTTATTTCCATATACATAATCTACATAAATTAAATTTTTGGTCCACTGTTTTGTATTGTATTTTATTCTTTAACGTTATATATAAACGCGAGTGTTTCTTAAACTGCAGACATCTATATTCACAGTAAATAAACCACTCTGGCATGTGAGTTGTACAAACACATTGTCTTAAAGAGTTTTCATCTCAGCTATTTTAACTTGCTGACAAGGCATCACAGTTGTGATGTTCAGTATTTAAGTGAATATAATAAATGCCCCAAAGAACGAATTAAAGGGTTGTAAAACACCTATGCTGGTTACACATCCTTAGCATGACAAATCAACAGATTTATTAGTCTTTAGATTCCTTATTTTTTGCCTTTCGTACTTTGATGGCGTTCTCGTTGCTAAACCTATCATTAAAGTGCATTAAACTTTAAAAGACAACATGTACACTCAAATTAAAGGTTTTCTTTTTAGACCACAACTCACATTGATATACGGATAATAAAGTATTGGCAGTTTCTACCAATTACAGTCCCTGATGCAGACCTGTGCGTATTGTACAGCACTATTAGCGCTTGTGTTTTGCATCACTCAGAATTGTCTAATTGCTTTAAACAAAAACTGTGTACTATTTCTAAACTTTGTTTGTAATTATAGTTTTGTGGACTTATTTTAAATGGAAGTGTTTTACTTCTATTGCATACTCACTTTGCCCCAACTCGCTAAACCCACCGGATAGGATCGTTTGACTGGATATGAAGTTGTGCATTCACAAGCATGTTATGCATGACCACACTGAGGTAGATCCAAAGAAAAAAAAGAAAAAAATGAGCAAAAAACAGCCATTGCAAAAGAATACATAAAGATGAAAAACACGTCTTTGAAAAGCTATGTCTGATGCAGCGAGATGTACTTAATTCTATTTTATGTACAAGGATGTTGAGGGACCATGTCCTGAAATTCAATCCCAGCAGCTCTGGAATATCCCTCGACACATCATATGCTTAAGATTTGCAAATGTTTTACAGTAACTATTGCATGTAGAGACACTCTATGTCAGGTAGAGGACTGAAGGCACTATTAAATGATTTATAATATATATTTCAATATAATAATTACAGTTATTGATTAATTAAGCGTAGTGTTGAATATGTACATTTAAAAAGCTTTAACAAATGAAGTTATACTTTTAAAAATGTAATACTGCCTGGAACAGATTTTAGATAGTGTTTAAGAAAGTTGTGCTTTTAATGGGCAGTGGTTGGTGTTCAAGAGAGTCGTACTGTCGGCTTGGCTATGAGTGATGATGTTCATAATAATGTCATGTATTATTAAAGCAAGATACATAGTACCATATCAAACAGACCTCAACGTTTCATAAAACATGCCATGATCTGCATAATTAATCAACATTCAGTTTGCAAATGACTTAAAAGTAGCCTTAATTAGCAAATGAACATGTACATAAATAAATGATGAACATACAATGATGAACATCATTGTTTTACATGCAAATGTAATTTTTTTTTTGTCGCTGAATAACTACTAATATTTTGGGAATATAAGGTGCGTTTATATATCCGAGTACTCTACCGATCCGATTAATAGTGTTTCTGTCTTTTACCTATTGGTGTCGATTGGCGTATTTTAGACTTCCAACTCTTGTGGACTTGCGATCAAACATACTCAATGAAATAATACATTATCAAAGGCCCAGTTGAAGCATTCTGATATATGAATAGACTACAATATGTACAGTCTTGACACTGGAAATCTATACATCCGTGAGACGCTTCACTTTATTTACGCAGTTCTGATTCGCCACCGTGCAGTTCCCAGTTCGCAGGTTTGCCTCTCGAAAATTATCAATGCTGTTATTGAGGTCGTCGTCAATCTCCATGTATTCTGACTTGCTGACGACAGACGAGCTGCGACGACTGGAGTTGGATTCGGACGCGATGTTCGGGTTGCTCACTGTGAGGAGCTGTGCCTGTTCGTCTCCTTCGGTTTCTCTGTGATAGAAATAGTTAAAATTGGACACAATCACAGGCACTGGAAGCGCAATCGTTAGCACTCCAGCAATGGCACATAGAGAGCCTACTATCTTGCCCCCGATCGTAACAGGGTACATGTCTCCGTACCCCACGGTTGTCATCGAAACCACCGCCCACCAGAAAGCGTCTGGGATACTTGTGAAGAAAGAATCCTTCTCTTCGGCCTCGGCGAAATACACCGCGCTGGAAAACAAGATTACGCCGATGAAAAGGAAAAAGATGAGAAGTCCGAGCTCTCGCATGCTGGCTTTCAGAGTCTGGCCCAAGATCTGAAGCCCCTTGGAGTGTCTGGACAGCTTAAATATCCGAAACACCCGAACCAAGCGGATGACCCTGAGAATGGCGAGAGACGTGGCCTGCTCTCCTCCGCCCTTCACCTCCTTTCCACCGTCGGGGTCCTCTGCCAACTCCGTTCCAAGCGTTATGAAATATGGAATGATGGACACTATGTCGATCGTGTTCATCATGTTTTTGAAGAAGGCAGGTTTACTTGGGCAAGCGAAAAAACGGACAATCAACTCAAAAGAAAACCAAATGATGCAGAGCGTCTCCACGACAAAGAACGGGTCGGTAAAAATATTTGGTTTGTAGTAGAACGTGCTGTTGCCTATCACCTGGAGCCGTCCATGCGGATCCTCTTTCAACTCTGGTAAAGTCTCCAGGCAAAATATGACAATAGAAATGAGAATAACCATGACGGAGACGATCGCGATCCCTCTGGCAGGTCCTGAGCTCTCGGGATGCTCAAACAGCAGCCAAATCTGTCTCTGAAACTCATTCTCCGGCAGGGGGCGCTCTTCCTCACGAATAAAGCCCTCATCCTCTCGAAATTTTTCCATAGCTTCTTCTCCAAGCTCATAAAACTTAATTTCCTCAGAGAACATATCCAAGGGCACATTGACGGGTCTTCTTAACCTCCCTCCGGACTGATAGTAGTAGAGGATGGCGTCAAAGCTTGGGCGGTTTCTGTCAAAAAAGTATTCGTTCCTTAAAGGGTCAAAGTAGCGCATCCTTTTTTTGGGGTTGCCTAGTAGGGTCTCTGGGAACTGGGCAAGCGTCTTGAGTTGCGTCTCAAAGCGCAGCCCTGAGATGTTGATGACCACCCGCTCGCAGCACTCGGGGGAATACTGCGAGTCCTGCGGTTGCCCCTGCAGAGTGGAGGACGTCTCATCTATATTATCTCCAGCAACCACCACAGTCATCCTGGAGATCAAACTCGCAGACTACTGGATGGCAGTGGATGTTCAGGTGGGTTGAGTATGCATCCAATGCCCTGCAGTTTGAATAGTCAATGACCCAACAGGACATCCAGCATCGTGTTCCACCAAATGTCGACCATCTCCATGTCCAATGGAGCTCTGCATCTACTTCATAGTCAGCCAGAAAATTAAGGGGAGTAATGGGATACCATGACAGAGAGGAAATATGTCCTGTACCTAGATTAAAAAAAAAAAATCCACAGAGAAGTGATAAGAAATTTCTAATGTATATTTTGAATCATATTAAAAAGTAAAAGGAACACAAAATTCTCAACAGGACCATCACGATTTGCCAGTATAAGAAGATTTGAAACATCTTTGCTCTGATCTCTGAAAAGATCTGATTGGGTGAAATGAATTTGAAATGGACTTGCTTGTCAAATAGATTTTCAAGTGTCCTGACAGCAAGTTTAACCCTACAGAAGCAGACCGAACATATCCTCTTGTGAGACAGCTATGTAGAGAACATATGCTCTTGCTCACACATGCATACTCAAAACATGCAATATGGTTCTTTATCATTATAAGTAATATTATTTTTTATTAACTAGCTCTCAGCAAATATAAGGACACTATTTGCCAATATGAATATTACCAATTTATAACGAAGAGAATGAGAGTGATGCCAATGGGGATGTTATAAAATGACTGTCTTTGTACTTACGTGGGCAGTCACATTGAGGAACAGTGCAGGAAAGATTGCGCAAAACCTCCTATGTGTAATTCAAAATAGATCTCACATTACAGCCTCACATTCATACAGCAAGAATAAAATACATCCACAATACACATCCTACTGCCGCCAGACAACAGCAAACTTGCAGTGCTCCTCAAACCGGTGCAGCAGAACAGTGGAGACACAAACAGAGCGAGAGAGAGGGAGGGAGGGTGAGCGAGGCAGAGAGAGTGAGTGGGTGAGTGAGTGAGTGGATGTGTAATGCGCAATGCAGACAGACTCCAGTATGTTGTCCTTTTCCACACATCAGATGGGACACACACTACAGCTGAAGGAGAAATTCCTCTTTAAATGGTATTTGTTTCTATCATTAGTGTGTCTTTTCGTTCACAAATTGCCATAAAACATATTAACGTGTTCATACTAATAAAGTTACATACTATATGAATGCGCTAATTTGCATGCAACCTTAAACCAGATTTGTACACGTTTTTAGAGTAATAATGTTCATTTAAATTTAACAGTACTCTATGAAAAAATATTTTGGAGCATTGAGCAGACTGAATGTGTATTCGAGGCATACACACTTTTAAAATGCGCTAATTTTAAATTAAAACCACGATTCAATAAAATATTATTTAATGTGATTCAAGTAATCTGATGTCATTTACATGTAAAGGGTTGGATGAAGTAAAAACAACTGCACTTGAATTTTCAAACCTGTGACCTTGTCTTTGCTAGCACAATGAACTCTCATGAATCCTCATTTTGCTTACATTTACATACAAATTGTGCAATAAATCAGGGCCTGTTGGTGTTTAACTTCTCTTGACATCCGTGTCTCCAGCTGATATGCTTAAATCAGATTGCAAATAATTCACCTGAGAGTCGATGGTTGATCATGTTAGAGTTTTCTGCATTAGACTGCATTAAGATGCCTTTCGTGTAGAAATGGGAACCAGTATCTGTTTGGTTAAAGCATCATTGAGATGTACAATGTGAAGACTGTAGCTCTGTGAATACCATCCAGTCCTCAGCAGACAGCGCAATCGCTCTCAGTACAAGAGATCAACACAATTCTCCATGGCAACCAGGAGTTAGTAAAAGAGTGAAGAGAGGAGGAGGGAAAACAGGTTTACACACCGCTGCTGTCACTACAGCACAAACAGCAAAACTCACACCCAGTAACTGTGTGTAACTGAATTGTATTGTGCATAGATTGCCATTACATTGGTCATTGATCACAATGTTGTTGTTTTCAAAGTCCACTGGAAAGGTTGCAGAAAGTGTAACATGATCCTGGAACAACATTCCAATCAACCAATCAGATTTGAGGGACATGTTTAGAGTTTATGTCAAGTTTAGGCTTACAACCAAGCTTAGGTGCACCTACATCAGTGTTATTCACCAATCATTTTTATGAGTAGGGTTCGGAATAGGGGAAGGGATATGGTTTTTACGTTTGGGGTGGATATGTTGGTCCAGGATCAACAAAATATGTTGACCCAGGAACATGTCTAACTTGTAAAAATCAGAACATGTGATGGTCCAAAAGAAGAAATGAAGATAAGATATGGAAATGCTTAAGGAGTATGTCAGAATAAAAGTCCTGTTTTAATCAATTATTTTCTTGTTGTGTGTAACTTATTTTGCTATTTCATCCTTTTGACATAGCAGTTCCTCCTCTTTTTCCTGGTTATATCCCAGACAGCAAACTGACATTGAATCAACGTGGAAACGACGTCTCTCATGACATTGAAACAACGTTGATTTTGCTCATCGAATTAACGTTGAACCAACGTCAGACGCGGCATTCTTCAAAGCTAAATGAAAATCGAAAATTGGTTTGCTTTCATAACGCTGAAACAACGCGTTGATTTCAAGTTGATTTTCCGTTAGTTTTGAAAGAATGACGCGTCTGACGTTGGTTCAACGTTAATTCGATGAGCAAAACAATGTCAGATCAACGTTGTTTCGATGTCATATTTCCACGTTGATTCAATGTCAGTTTGCTATCTGGGTCTTCACTTAAATAATGTTTGGGGAAAAGTAAACAGCTTTAAGACATTTCAGTTCAGTTTCAATAGTTGATCAGTTATGCCACGTTAAATTAAATATTAATAATAAAAAACTACAATGGTTTATAGTACAGTTTAAATATTATTATTTAAGGATTTTTATTTTCGCTTGAAGAGAATTGGGGAAAATTTGCGTAACTGTCATGAAAATACTTTAGCAATATACATATCGAATTTTGAGGTTAAATTTGACTTGGCCATGCACTTGCTGTTGCTTAGGAGCAGTTTGTATTGTGAAAAGCAATAGAAATCAAAAAAATGCATTGGATTTAATTCAAGGTCAGACTGTATTAAAGAGCACCAAACTCACTCCTGTTATCTGACTGTGTCGTGCTGTCTTTTCAAGAATGATAAACCCATTATAAGTGTGTTGCATGACCTTTCATGAAGTACAAGAACACGTTTTTACAAGCATCGACTTCAAAATTTCAAAATCAAATGAATAAAACAACGTAACGTAATTAAACATAGATCCAGGAATACATTCATGACCTGGTGCTAGCCTACATGAAACAAATTCCTCAGAGTATTTCTCTGGAAACCTGCTGATGTGGATCCTCTGCTTTTTGCCTAGCAACAGTCGCCAGTGTACTACACGTCTCTGACAGCCCAGTTCCTCGTTTCATTTCAAGGATTCTCCACAGAGCTCATTTCATTTTCAAAGGGTGATCACATTTACGTGAACGCTCTTTAGGATTATGGGTCCAGTTCGTAAACTCCCACAGATCTGCTAGCAGCATTTAGCTTCCCCACGTTCATTTCAGCAGAAGGACAGCTGAGGAGAGGTGCAGTCTTACAGTATGAATTTAGCACCCCTCCTCCACTCTCATTCATGAATGCACTGGGCCGTTATATAACACTTGTGCTCTATTTAAAAGAGCCGTAGCAATGAAGATGGGCAAGAGACTCACGCGGTGCCCTTCAAGATGAACGCTAGAGCCCTAGGGGCTGTTGGGTCAGACCGTTAGGTGCTATTATTAGCTGCTTGTCACACCGCAACCAAAGGAAATGGAGTAGAACTGACAGATGTGTGTGTGTGCATTCATTGGTAATGTGCTTTCGTGTGTGTGTGTGTGTGTGTATGTGGTGATTGCATCATGAAGAGCACAATGGCCAGATTTACTGCACTGCACCATTCTGCGCTAAACACACAAAAGACATCATTTATCTCGTTTTCTACAACGTATTGAAATTAGTTTCTGTCCCAGAGACTGCTTAGCTTAGCGTACACATTTGACTTTACTAGAGAATGTAATAATGTCGTCATTGGGTTTATTTTTAGGTCCCATGTCTGCTGGGTTCCCATGGGAGTCCTGTTGACACACACAAATAAAAATGTCTGTAAAATGTAAATGTAAAATTACCACATTCGATCAGTTTTTTTTTTATTCTCATTTTATTCTTTTTCAGAATTTATAAATTCTCTCTTTTTTTGTAATATCTGTTTGTTAAACAATACTGGCCAGCTGGACATAGTCATATAAGTCATTCTTTTTTGTGAAATTCAATTTGGTGATGAAAGTGACGCCAGTGTTATTTCTTTTCTTTCAGGAACTTTGGCATTGGTAGAATTCATTTAGTTCCATGGATCCAAGAAATAAAACACCTTGTGCACCCCTGTGGACTGTATGGTGCCTTCTGGTTGGCACCACCCCCTTTAATATTGGGTTTCTCCATTGTCATTCTCATGTGGGAAGATCAAGCACAGCAAAAGTCAATGACAGCAAAATAGAATATATGATTAGCAATGGAGTCATCAAAGTGTCAATGAAAGAGTTATGGCGGAAGCATTTTGGTCAAATATATTAGTGACTTTTTTACTGTTAGTAGCCGTGTTTATATACAGTACACTCACCTAAATGATTATTAGGAACACCATACTGTGTTTGACCCCCTTTTGCCTTCAGAATTGCCTTAATTCTACGTGGCATTGATTCAACAAGGTGCTGAAAGCATTCTTTAGAAATGTTGGCACATATTAATAGGATAGCATCTTGCAGTTGATGGACATTTGTGGGATGCACATCCGAGGACACGAAGCTCCTGTTCCACCACATCCCAAAGATGCTCTATTGGGTTGAGATCTGGTGACTGTGGGGGCCATTTTAGTACAGTGAACTCACTGTCATGTTCAAGAAACCAATTTGAAATGGAATGCTGGAAGTAGCCATCAGAGGACGGGTACATGGTGGCTACAGTATAAAGGGATGGACATGGTCAGAAACAATGCTCAGGTAGGCCGTGGCATTTAACTGATGCACAATTGGCACTAAGGGGCCTAAAGTGTGCCAAGAAAACATCCCCCACACAATTACACCACAACCACCAGACTTCACAGTAGCAACAAGGCATGATGGATCCATGTTCTCATTCTGTTTACGCCAAATTCTGACACTACCATCTGAATGTCTCAACCAAAATCGAGATTCATTAAACCAGGCAACATCTTTACAATCTTCAACTGTCCAATTTTGGTGAGCTCTTGCAAATCGTGGCGTCTTTTTCCTATTTGTAGTGGACATGAGTGGTACCCGGTGGGGTCTTCTGCTGTTGTAGCCCATCAGCCTCAAGGTTGTGCATGGAGTGGCTTCACAAATGCTTTGCTGCATACCTCGGTTGTAACGAGTGGTTATTTCAGTCAAAGTTGCTCTTCTATCAGCTTGAATCAGTCGGCCCATTCTCCTCTGACCTCTAGCATCAACAAGGCATTTTCACCCACAGGACTGCTGCATACTGGATGTTTTTCCCTTTTCATACCATTCTTTGTAAACCCTAGAAATGATTGTGTGGGAAAATCCCAGTAACTGAGCAGATTGTGAAATACTCAGACCGGCCCGTCTGGCACCAACAACCATGACACGCTCAAAATTGCTTGAATCACCTTTCTTTCCCATTCTGACATTCAGTTTGGAGTTCAGGAGATTGTCTTGACCAGGACCACTCCCCTAAATGCATTGAAGCAACTGCCATGTGATTGGTTGATTGGATAATTACATTAATGAGAAATTGAACAGGTGTTCCTAATAATCCTTTAGATGATTGTATAGATAAAGTATGCATTAACCATTCACAGTGTAATTACAACTCAAAGCACAAAAGTACACAAACT